CTCTCTCTCTCATTCTCATTCACTCTCTCTCTCTCATTCTCATTCACTCTCTCTCTCTCTTTCTCTCTCTCACTCTCTCTCTTTTTCTCCCTCTCACGCTCTCACTCTCACTCTCTTTCCCTCTCACTCTCTCTCCCTCCCTCTCTTTCGTTCTCTCTTTCCCTCTCCCTCCCCCCACTTCTTTCCCTTTCCCTTTCCCTCTCCCTCCTCCCCTTTCTCCCGAGCTCATAATACACACGCAAACACACACATCCCCTGTGTAAGAGTGCACACTTGCTTCTTTCATATGCAAATGGGGCAAATGGTGACGGACAGACAAGAAGATAGACACACAGGCAAGTGAGATAATAAGGTACATTCAAAAATCAAGAAAGGTGTGAACAAGTGAGAGTGATTGAGTGAATGATTGTGTGTGTGCACACATGCACATATGTATATAAATGTTCATATACGTATATGTATATGTGTATATATATGTATATAAAAGCATATTAATACACACATACATACACATGCACACACACACACACACACACAAGTGTGTATGTGTGTGTGTGTGTGTGTGTGTGTGTGTGTGTGTGTGTGTGTGTGTGTGTGTGTGTGTGTGTATGTGTGTGTGTGTGTGTGTGTGTGTGTGTGTGTGTGTGTGTGTGTGTGTGTGTGTGTGTGTGTGTATGTGTGTGTGTGTGTGTGTGTGTGTGTGTGTGTGTGTGTGTGTGTGTGTGTGTGTGTGTGCGTGCGTAAGGTCATCTGGCGGCCACACCCTGTGTATATCATGTGCATTTTACTTATAATATACATTCACACAAGCAATCTCCCAAGCATGACTGGAACATTGCTTGCACTCTGTTTAGCGGAGCCATGTTGGGCATCGACCCCGAGGGGCAACCGGCACGAATAGGGTTAAGACAAGCCGCATTCACGGCCACACACGAAGAAATTCAGGTGAAGGCCCGAACGCACGCACACACACGCACACACACGCACACGCACACACACACACACACACACACACACACACACACACACACACACATATCAGCATAAACCAACAGCACGCAGCACACCCCTAAATTAACACAAGCGTATGTGAAACACTCCCCCCTTCAACATCCCCCCCCACTCCTAAGAGCCCCTTCCCCGCCCCCATTAATAAGAAAAAAAACTTAACCTTCGCTCAGTCAACACTCTTCCAGTGCCTTAGACGCGTCGCCCGAAAAAGGCTCTCGAAAAAAAGGAGAAAAAAAGAAAAACGGAAGACAGACAGAGAAAAAAATAAAAGAAAATAGAAGAGACAGAGAAAAAATAAAAGAAAATGGAAGAGAGACAAGGAAAAAAGAAAAGGAAACGGAAGAGGCAGAAAAAAATAAAATAAAATGGAATAGACAGAAAAAATAAAATAAAACGGAAGAGACATAGAAAAAAGAAAAGGCAGCGGAAGACAGACAGAGAAAAAAAATAAAACGGAAGAGACAGAGAGAAAAAATTAAATAAAACGGAAGAGAGACAGAAAAAAAACGGAAGAGAGACAGAGAATAAAAGAAAAGGAAACGGAAGAGACACAGAGCGAAAAAACGAGGTGATGGAAGGTAGTGCGGCATTCCATTTTCCTCGCGACCGCTGCCTCGGTGGGTGGGTGTGTTTGCCCGGTCAATAGAAAGGCAAGTTCGAGAGTGTGTGAGATGGGGGTGAGGGTGAGAGTGGGGGGGAGGTGGGGAGGGGAGAGTGTGTGAGATGGGGGAGGGGGGTGAGAGTGGGGGGAAGAGGAGGGAGGGTGAGAGTGGAGGGAGGGGGTGAGAGGTGCTAGGTGGGGGGGAGTGGGGTGATGGGGTGAGAGTAGGGTGATGGGGGTGAGAGGTGCGAGGTGGGGGGGGGGGGTGATGGGGTGAGAGGTGCGAGGTGGGGGGGGGGGGTGAAGGGGTGAGAGTAGGGTGAAGGGGGTGAGAGGTGCGAGAGTAGGAGAGAGAAGGTGGGGGAAACGAGGGGGGGGTAGGGAAATAAGAGAGGAAAGCGGGGAGAGAATGAGGAGAGGGTAAAACGAGAAGAGAGAGGAAAGAGAGAGGGTATAAGATGGGGAGGGGGGGTAAAAAAAGTTTAGAAGTGAAGAGGAGAGAGAGAAGGTAAGGGAAGGCTCGAGTGAGAGAGAGAGAAGGGAGAATAAGTGATGGCGGAGAGAAAAGAGAGAGAGAGAGAGAGAGAGAGAGAGAGAGAGAGAGAGAGAGAGAGAGAGAGAGAGAGAGAGAGAGAGAGAGAGAGAGAACGAAAGAAAGAAAGGAAAGATACGAGATAAAGAAAGAGGAAAGAGACAACTGATGTGGCTTTCGATAATGAGTATCTGAGAAAAATGGGGAGACAGTGAATAGTGAATGTGAGGGGGGTGGGGGGGTTGCATCTGCACTCACGCACAAGGTCCACCCATATAAGGAGACCGGAAGGAGGGCGCTAAGGACGCTGCATCGGGAGGACTATAAAGGTAAAACGGTCTGGGAGTGGCGCCCATTTTTGCGTTGTGGGCGGCTGGCCCACGAGGACGAGCGTGGGTGCGTGTGAACGTATGTGTGTGCATGTATGCGCGTGACTGTGTGCGTGTGTATGTGTATACCTGTGCGTGTATGTATGTGAGAGTGAGAGGTGTGTGTGTGTGTGTGTGTGTGTGTGTGTGTGTGTGTGTGTGTGTGTGTGTGTGTGTGTGTGTGTGTGATTGTTGGTGTGAGTGAGGTGTGTGTGTGTGCGTGTCTGCGTGCGTGCGTGCGTGCGTGCGTGCGTGCGTGCGTGCGTGTGCGTGTGCGTGTGCGTGTGTGCGCAGGCCTTAATGTATATTTTTCACTGGTTAATGTTATTCCCATAGTTCAACATCTACTAATTCCATCGATATAATAATTTATTTCAAAGCAAAACAGAGGAAAAAGTAAAACCACATTTCCATTTTTCTTTTATTAACAAAAAAATACATCAATAATGTATGTATACAAATACGATGTAGTTCGCGAAACTACATCACTGGACGAAATGCGTAAGAAAATACACTGAAATATATCACTGAAAATTATATAACGCACCAAAAGTTATAATCTCCATATGTCAAATATGACTAATGTTGCATATCACAGTTTTCAATGCAGCTTTCGCCGAGTGAATAAAATGGAATATATAGCAATTAATATAATAAATAAATCAATCAATAAATAAATGCACCATATTCTATCACTATATAAAATAACATATTCCCATTTACTCGTGAAGCAAATTCTTAACGGCCACAAAAATATAATAATGATAATGAAAGCCACCAAAAAAAAAAAACATAATCAAGTGATGGAACAAAAGCAAAATAAAAAAAATCCAAGTTAACTTTTACAGCATTTATGAGCATGTACACAACTTTTATTGAACTTAGCTTACTCTCACACAACGTAAAAGGTAAATTGCACACGTTATCAAACGTTATTAACCCAAGTGACAAACAGAAACCTATTTGTCTATTTTTTGAGAACCTCTTAAGCACCAAAGCTTCTAAAACGGTCCGATAGAAAACATGAGGCTAGGTCAAAGGTCAAACCCTAGTTTTGGGTCAGGAATACCGACTACTAGTCTCTCGTACCTGAAGTAAGGATCTATTTACTATAACCCGACCCTTTCTTTCATCGGACTTGACCAGGCAAGGTCACCGAAATGTGTTTAGGTCATAAACAAGGGTATATGACAATGGGTTTCAATAAAAACGTAGTCGCCTAAATACCCTTATAGCAGGTAACGCAAGTTAAGAACGGATCATCCCAATGCAGGGTTGTCTTTCCAGGATGCTACGTTCACCCTATCACAGCACCAAAGAACAGCTGCTCCTAATCTCCACACGGCCCGCAGGAGCAAAGGCAATCAAGCAGACAAGCTCCTGCTGATGCTCCAAGCCAAGTTCCTTCCCCTGCTTGTCGCCTGCCTCTCAGTAATGGTCTGCGTCGCGCGACGGCGCCGCGAGAATTAGATGGGCTGATATTCTTGGGACGAGCCTGCGCTGCCGTAGGTCGAGTCGACGTCGCCCTCCTGGCTGCCGAGCAGACGGCGTTTCTCTTCCTCCGCCTTGGAGAGCGAGCCGTTGACGCTGAGGGGAGACGCGGGCGTCCTGCCGATGCCCGTGCACACGAAGAGCGCCGTGACGAGAGCGACCAGCGCGTGCAGCACTGCCACCACCACCGTCGCCCACTTGAACCCGATGGTGTCGAGCAAGACGCCCCCGATGGAAGGCCCGGCGAAGCAACCGAGGGCGAAGGTGGACGTCCATATCCCAGAGACGAGGCCGTAGGTGCTGAGGTCGTCGGGGAAGCCGTGAGCGATGGCATCGCGGTGGGCGCCGCTGAAGGTCGCCACCAGCTCCGCCCCGAAGCCGATGCCGTGGACGACGAGGGACGCTATGCACAGAGAGAGCGACGTGTCCAGGGGCAGGAAGGGCATCGGGCCGATGAAGGTGAAGGCCACCACGACGACGACGGCTCCGAAGGCGGTCACGCCCCGCGGAGACAGCTTCTTGTCGCAAAGCCAGCCCCAGCACGGCGCCGACAGGGCGTACGTGGCCCCGTTGAGCACGAACATGAGCCCCATCTGCAGGGGCGACAGCTTCAGCGGCCGCAGGTGGGGCTCCAGCGTGGCCTGGAGGAAGCCGATGCTGAAGGAGGCGGCCATGATGGCGAAGGCGGCCAGCATGATGCTGGGCAGGCGAAGGGCGGCCAGCAGCTGTCCGCCGTTGTTCCCGGAATCGCCATTGCCCTCGGAGTCCTCCTTCGGCAGGAGGCAGCAAGTGACGACGGCGGCGCAGAGCAGCACGCAGCCACACACGACGAAGGGCAAGTAGTAGCCGCCGAGCTCGTAGAGCGCCCCGCCCACCGTCGGGCCCGCGATGAGCCCGAGGCCGAAGAAGGTCTCCATGGTCGCGAACGCCGACCCGACGTTCTTGGGGAACTCCTTGGCGATGATGCTGAAGGCGGAGGTGACGAAGGCGGCATTGCCACAGGCCTCCACGATCCTGATGGCGAAGGAGAGGCCGATGAAGGTGCTGGTGTCCTCGACCCGATCCAGCAGGCCGAAGAGGATGCACATGATGGACACCGTGACGATGCCCGCGTTGTTGATCAGCTTGGCGCCCCAGCGGTTGAGGAACTTGCCGTAGATGGGACTCACCAGGAACACGGTCAACTCGAAGATGCCGAAGACCAGACCGTACTGCGTGGCCGTGGCGCCCTTTCGTTCCGCCTCCGCCGGGTAGAAGGGCGCCTGCAGGGACACGCACACTGCGTTGAAGAACTGGGCGACGCTGAAGGTCACGAGAGTGACCCATTGCCTCCTCGAGTAGCCGGACATCTTGCGGGGACGAGGTGGACGACAGAGACAGTTAATATTTCCTATTCAAATGTTGCACCGAAGTTTTCACAAACCTTCTCGACCCTCTTTCGTCCACGGGAGAAAAAGAAACGAACCCGATAACCGAATAAGGGGGATCGCCAAACAAATGTCGACCACGGGAAGGTGTCTCTCACGATCACGAGTGCCTTTCAGGTAACTTGTAAAGCCGAGGTAGACGGGAGCGAGAAGATCGTGCGCGTGCCCTCCCTGGTGGCAGCTGCTTGACTGGCGAGGCGATGGTCAGCGGCGGTCGCCATCCTCACATATAAGTCCGCACGTCCTGCCAGATGAAGGACGAGTTCACACTTTTCTCTATCGTCGCAAAGCAGTGTTTTTGTCCCATTTGGCGTCACTGGTGCTGGCATTCACGAGATAAACACATCGCGCCTGCTTGTTTACATGCTCCACATACGTGATTCCGATTCTGCAATGCACGTATTAAACTTTTTCAAGCGAACTACAGTTCAGCACACAAACAAAGCGACGAGAGGCGTGCACAAGCACACACACTTCGCAACTCGACCCCCCCCCCTTCCCCCTGCGCCCCCTGAGGGCAAATGGCGGTCAAGCAGTCCTAGCGACCTGACAACAGCTCAACAGATGGTAACACTTCCAACTAATTCGCGATAAGCCAGCACCCGTGCGCTTGTTCCCCGAAAACATTCCTGTGCCGACGAACGAGCAGTTACAGCAAGCAGCTGCGCCTAACGACCGGGGAAATACTCCAACTTCTGAACAAGCTTTTTCTCTCCTGAATCTGGAAACGACTGCTCCAGAACTCGAGGAAAACAAATACGAAAGTCAACAGAAGTAAAATAAACAGGCCAGCCACCGCAAGGTATGATGACTTGTTGCATCTGTGAGTACTCTAAAATTTATGAATTTACTGATAAAAACGATATTTCCAATCAGGATTCAGCAATCAGTAGCTCACTTCTGTGAGAAACATTTAAATATCCTTTAAGGTATTCTTAATAGAAATCACTTTGCAGTATAAAAAACAACGCTTTCAAATTACATAACTAAGTTGAATGGATCCATAAAGCCTTGGTATTTCAAATGTCAAATAATGCACTCAAATATCCTCACCTCCCTCTCTCTTCCCCTTTCTCTCTCTTTCTCCTTAATTCTATGTCTTTTTCTCCCTCTCCCTCTCCCTGTAACATGAAAGCATATTCATTCATTCATAGGTCCATTCATTCATTCGTTCGTTCGTATACTCACACGCGCGCACCTTTTTATTTTCTGACCTGCTTTCACACACACACACACACACACACACACACACACACACACACACACACACACACACACACACACACACACACACACACACACACACACACACACAATCCAACCATCCATTCATTCATCCAACAAGCAGCTCGTCCTCATAACTTACATAAACAACTAATATAATACATAATACATACATACCCCCGCCCACCCCTCCAACGCAATTTAGATTCATTCAAACTTCCCTCCCCACCCACCAACCCCCTCCCTTCCCCCTCCCCTCCCCACCCACCAACCCCCTCCCTTCCCCCTCCCCTCCCCACCCACCAACCCCCTCCCTTCCCCCTCCCCTCCCCTGCACTCCCCTCCTTCAATTCTTTTATTCATCACTTTTCTCGCTGACTCATTCTCCTCTCTCCTGCTCCCCCCCCCCCCCTATAGACTCATTGAACTCTCCCCGTCTCCCTTCTCCAGCAAAATATTATTCAGCTCCCCTTTACCTCCCTCTCCCCAGCAATATTATTCATCTGTTCTTCTCCAACACTCATCCACCTGCCCTCCCCTGCATCTAATTACCTCTCCCCTATATTCATCCATCTGCCCCTCCCCGACAGACGCATTTCATCCATCTGCCCCTCCCCGCACACTCATCCATCTGCTTCTTCACCCACAGACGCATCTACAGTATTTACCCCTCATCCCACACTCCTCCATCTGCCCCTCCCCCTCCACACTCATCCATCTGCCCCCCCCCCCCAACAAACTCATCCATCTGCCCCTCCCCCCACAGAAGCATCTACACTATTTACCCCTCATCCCACATTACTCCATCTGCCCCTCCCCCTCCACACTCATTCATCTGCCCCCCCC